GCTGCGGGAGTCGCCGGGTGAGCCCGCGGGGACCGGGGGCTGCGGGGGCGGGGAGAGCGTGATTCCCGGCGTACGGCGTGAGTAACTCCGTCCCTCTTCCCGCTGCAGGCCGGGGAAAGGCCCCGCCGGGACTCCAGCGGGGGCAGGACGGACCCGGGGCGGCGGGCCCTGCCAGGCGGGGGAAGAGGGCGCCGGAGCCCGGCAGGAACAAGGCCACGATCAAGGGCAGAGTCGTGAAGTCGGCGATAGGTGAGTCCCGGCGCGCCTCCGGGGGGAGGGAGAAGCAGCTTTGCCGCCCTCCCCAGCTCTCGCACCGGGTCCCCTTGTGGTGTCCCTCAGGCACCCTCCCTGTCGCTTGTATCCATCCCTTCCCATCCTTCTGGATGCCCTTCTGGTGTCCCCCACTTAAACATAGCCTGAGCTGTGAACGCACCCCTATCCCTGAGCTGTAGCGGTGTCTCTTTCTCCCGGGCCTTGCTGATCCTCCTGTGTCTCTGCTTGTGTGCTGCCTGGACGAGCAGCTGATGTGGTTTTTCCCACTCTGCTTTGGCCTAGAGGAATATCATAAGAAGAAGGCCGTGAATCACTTGAGAGCAAACCTTCAGTACATGTTGAAAGGACGATTTGTTGCAAACAAAGCCATCACAGAACAAGTAAGACTGTCACTTCTTTCTCTGGGGGACTGTTTCTGCTGAGGAACACAGATGAATGGGAATCTTCCAGCTTAGACCTTGTGCAAAGGAGTCAAGTTAGGTTTCTGTCTGCAAGTGGCCTTGAGGAATTTCTGTGTGCACCAGCAGATTTAAACTATTGTTGATATGTTGTCTCCTATGATCTCAGATACTAGTTAAAATGTGCTGACAACTGTTGGCTATCCCAAATTACCAAAGATACTTCATACCTTCAGCTGGCAAGGAAGCCCTGGTTCAGACCTTTTCCTTACTGTCAATCGAACTGGCCTTCTCTGTAGCTGGAGGCTGTTTAGCAAGGAACCAGATGTGCTGCTGGCTCATGTAATAGGAATTTCATACAGTCTTGAATGATGCTTTTCGTAACCTGAGAATTTATCCAGTGGTCTTCCCCAAAAGGTAGTCTCATGCCAGGATCTGAGGAGAAGAATAGCTGACACTGCTAGAATTTTGAACTATTTTTATGAGATACAGGCTGTTAGCTTACATAAACCAAGTGGTTTAGGCCAGTGTTTCTCAGGCTGGAGATTGTGAAAGGAGGTGGTGGTGTGTTAGAAAATGCTGAGGGAATTGCACCAACTTTTGGGGGTTTCAGGTTGTCTCATGGAGAAACAGGATAAAAGAAGGTCATAGTTTCAGAAGGGTCTGAATTGAAATCTCTGTGACAGTTACCAGAGAGTAGTTTTCATATTTGACTCCAAATACTAAGTTGCTATTAGCTGTTGTCCCAGTGACCTGCTTTGGTTAACATTGGTGATTACTTCTCACTTTTCTTTGGAGGCATCCCAGGATGTAGCAGGGTACTAGCAGAGTAGCGGGGATGCTGCAGGTGAGCTTGAAAATCACCATTACATGGTTTGGTCTAGATAACAATGAATGACTGTTGTTTTTTCCTTTTTTTATTGCCTGAAGGTTCTTGCTCAGAACAGAGGCAGGAAGTCCAAAGATCAGCCTCCAAAGAAGGTGGAAAAGAAGAAGCCCGAGGGCACTGTCTTTACTGAGGAAGATTTCCGTAAATTTGAGAGAGAATACTTTGGGAGACCATAAACAACGTGACAGCAATTCTTGCAGCTCCAGTCCTTTTGCAGCTGAGCACGTGGCATGCAGGAGTGGCCATTTCCTTGGCGTGTTTGAGATGGGACGTCAGAGATGTGCCTCTGTCAGCAAGTGCTTTGATGTCACACTTGCAGAGCAGCTCTGCATCCGTGCAGAACTTGTTACTGGCCAGCTAGAGCCACAGAGGTTCTCTTGGCTCTGAGATGTGCTGTCTCCCTCCAGGCAACGTGTCTTGCATTCTTAATGTAGAAGGGTGGACTAAGCCAAACATAAATCTTGTTCCCCTTCCTCAGGACATAAGGTTTCTGCTACCTCTGTTCTTTGGCAGGGAGCATTAAGTACTGTATCTGAACGGAGAAATGTTTTGGACCAGAAGTAAATGATCAGAAGGGAAGGATGCTACAAAAGACGGTTAAACCTGACTAGCCCTGCAGTTTCTGTTCTTATTACAGCTTCTGTCAGGTTTTTCAGTCGTTGCAAAAACTTTTTGTAAGTTGTTCCATTAAATAATTGTTGCAGACACTGCCTCTCTTTGCCTTTGTAATAGTGATTATTATGACAGGCTACAACTGATGAAGACAAACCATGTCACTGTTCTGATCCAAGCATCCCTCTCTTTAGGATGACTCAGTTGTGTGAATGGCCTCTCTGATTCATATTGACACATGTATTTAATATCCTCTCTGACATGCTCGGGCCTACAAAGAGCGCAGGTTGGAATGGAGATGACTGTTGTGCCTACTCGTGGTCTCCCCTCTCCGAGGAAGAGCTCTCTCCTATGCGGAGAAAGTTGTCCTTTGGATGCTTACATCTGAGCCCCCCGCTCCGCTGCTGGGTGCTGCCAGCTCCTGTAGCCCGGAGGGGTTGTGACCTCGATGTGAGCCTCGGCATGAAGTTAAAAACTTCCGAGCCAGAGGTTGTGGTGCCGGGTTTTTCCTATCGGACTACTGCTAAATTCCCGGCTGCAACAAATAGACGGCCCAGCAGGTGGGAGTGTTGTTCCAGACACTTCCTCCCTAAACCACTGTAAATGTCCTTCTGGGGAGCTCCTGCCACTGCCCTTTCCTGTCCCTTACCTGAGAAGATGGGAAGTGTGTTCCCTCTGGAAAAAAACAGGTAAGGAGAAGGACTAATGCCAAGCTTTGGTTAGACTCAGGAGTTGATTACAAGGGGCTTGGCTGACCTGAGCAGCAGCTGCCTCGATGTCAGCACTGGAGGGAATTTCGTATCCCTTCCCTGCCCTCGTGATTGTAATTCCTGGTGCGGTCCTCCCATGTCTCTGCCTCTGTTGTGTTTTTTGGCTCTTGTCTGCATGAGAGGGAAGGTCACCCAGATGTATGAGGTCCAGACAGGGGAAATAGTGAACATACTGAAGTGTGCGTGTACTGGAAATCGTGTAATAGCACGTGGGAGGGGATTTCTTGTAATAGGATCGAGTTCAACTATCTGCAGCCAAAAGTGGTAAATATAGAACAGTTCAAAGACCAATTCCTTTCTTTTTCAGTTTGTCCTTGTTCCCAAAATGAAAAAAATGTGTAAAAAAAAAAAAAAAAAAAAAAGACAGAATGACTGCTTCTTGAAAGAATAGAAACACTATTATTTGAAAAAGTAGTTGAGCAGAATGTGGCTGCAGCAGCACGTGTCTCCTTAGAACCTCTGCACTCTGTGCCTGCTGCAGTGTACGTGAGCTGGTCTAACATATGCAGCCCCATGTGGAGCTGTCGTGGCGACTATTAACAGTGTGAAAAAGCTGACCGTGCCACAGCTTGACTTTTGAAAGAGATGTATTTCTGGAGTGTTATTTTGCTTCAAGCCCTTATCTTCAGTATTTGGCAGTTGCTTTGACCTTACAGAGGTCCTTCGTGTCACACCTTGTGCCTCCTCTACCAGTTGCTCCTGCACACCCTTGTTTCTGTGGTGGTTCAGCTCCTGGGCCCTTCTTCTGCAGGGCAAGGAAGGCAAAATCATCCTTTGTTGCTCCAGAAAGGAGCACTAGGGTAATGCGGTTCACTCTGTACAAAACCCAGCTTGTTCGCTTGGAAATGTAAGGAAACAGGAAAGCTGCTCTTTCAAAGTTAATGAGGAAGTTTAAAGTGGAGCCCAGAGCAGTTTTCCCCAGAGTCAGTAACACCCAGATCTGTGGAGTTTTAAAGTTTAAAGCTCTCATTACGGGCTGGAAAGACTATTGGGGCCAACACAAGTAATCAACATACTTCTTGTGGTTGGATGCCGTGGGGTGTTATATTGTTGAAGAGGGTAAAGCTACCTGACAGACTGGATTTTACCATCTGAAATCAAACGTCATTGTATGCCAATAGTATCCTTAGATAAATTAAACTTTATTTTGCAGGAGGAAGCAAAAGCAAGCAGAAGTGAACAGGTGGCTCTAGATGACCCATCTTCTCCAAGGGCAAAGATCTGACATGTCCTAGCCTTGATTTTCCCCCTCACTAGCAGAGCACTGTGAAAGAAGAACAGCAGAGCCACCGGCACACTGGGTAGATAAGGACAGGCGTTGGCGCCTGGGGGAATGTCTTCAAGCAAGAGGGGAGAATAGGTACCAGCCTGTTGCATGTGCCTGGTGGTAAGCTAAAGCTAAGCACCTTCCCATACTCCCAATTTTCTGTGTTATGGTCTAGTCGTGCCTAGAGCATGCCAGCTCCTCGGCTATGCTGGGACCCCAGGAGGTGGTTATCTCAGACGTAACCTGTGCCACCTCTCTGTTCCTTGCAGCCAGACTGTTCTACCCCGCATACGAGAGAAGAGGGGGTTAGGGAAGGAGCAGCTGCCATAGCTGCTTTTCCAAATTGGCCTCCAACCCCCAGTTCCCACACTGGAAGCTGACGCGCTGCAGCCCGCAGCCCTCAGACCTGCTGAATGGCATTTCTCTCCTGCGCAGCTGCCAGCGCAGTGCAGGGAGGCATCCCGCTGCTGCGGGGTGAGGGCCGCATGCTGGCTGAGCTCATCGGGCTGCTGGCTCTCTTCCCAGCTCTGCGACACCGGCTGAGGATCCTGCAGCAGAAAATAGAGGTAGCTGAGCTAGGGAAGAAGGAGGAGAGTGCCATCTTACAGTGCATCCCCACCCACACACAGCAGGGAGTTGGAATGGGAGGCGGCAGCAGCAGCTTTAATGTAAATGCAAATAAAAGCTCTGGAGTGTTATTAATGTGGTAGAAGCTTTCCAGGGAAACAGTTTAGATGAGGCAAAATAGTTCCCAGATGCTCAGTGTTGAGCTAGCTTACTGTAAAGAAGATTCATCAAGCCGGTTAATGGCCTGTTGCTCCCTCTGTTATGTGAGTGGAAAGCACGCAGGAAAATTTATTTGGGTGGGTACAAGCTAATGCAAACAGATACAGCCTCTGCTGTATCAGTATGTCTTTACTTCGTTAGTGTAGAAAGCAACAACAGCTAACATCGGCATTACATGTGTATCGGGAGAGGGGAGGACTGCAAACGTAAACCAATAAAACGTGGTTGCCCGGGACACTAACCAACCTCTTGCCTCTGAAATGACGTAGCAGTAACAAACCTGGCTGCCAACGAACAAAGACAGACTGTAAAACTTGCTCGGGCAAACAAGACTTAAAAGGCTGAAAAAGCTGTGGGGGAAAACCAGGGGATAGGGGGCGGTGTGTGCTAAAAACCGCTGGGAATCTCAGCCTCTGGTTTCTTTTTTCATGACTGACTTCCATTTCAGTCTTGCTGATGACCAACATGGCACCAGCACATACAACACTGATGAGCTCCTGAATGCCTTGAGTAAGGGACTGGTTATTGTAGAAAGGGTGCACAGCAGCAGCGCCCTGACTATCTCACAAAATAAAAGTTACAGCAAAAGGAAGTTTCTCATTTTGGACAAGAAGACCCATCAATTTGATTAAAAATAAGGAGTGTAAAAGAAGGCAGGTTGCCTAATGCCTGCTTACAGCTCATCATGTGGAACTGTTGCTAAGCCAGGCTGAAGGGTTGGTAAGTTTGAGACAGATTAAAGGTTCGCATATCTATCCATAGTTACATTAAATAGGATTAACAGTGCCAACCACTAACTGGTGGGGGCAGGGGAAATAAAAAGCACGAAGGCTGCTCTGCAGTTGTCTATAGGGTTACATGCACCTTTTTCTGAACAAACTAGCTGTTGGCAGGGTTAACTAGTAATCTATCCAAGCTGGTCTGTCCTGAGCTGCACCATTTGTTTGCCAGCAAGTTCATCTCTCTCCTTTAATGGGAGGCAAAGACTGGGTCACTTTCTCCAGCTGTCTGCGTGCCGCAATGGAGATGCAGAATAGTTACAGAACTAGGAGATTCCCTGCCCTATATAAATTCAGCTGACACGTCTGCTGCACTTGGAACTCGCTCCCTGCCATTTTTTAAAAGGGTGTGTACGTGTAAAAGAGAGGAAAAGAGCAGCTGAAGGAGAAACGAGAGGCGGCTAGCCATTACTTGAGAACATGCACCCCTGTAATAGGGAAATTGGAGCTTGTGGGCAGAGCTAGCTTCATTCAGTGGCTTGTGACACTGCATGAATGCACTGAAAATAATGCAAAGACAGCATACCTGGGATACCTGAGCAGCTGAAACAGTATTGCCTAGGTCAGGGGACCGAACTCCTCTGTTAATTCACAAGGCCCAACTTGTGGGCCTGAAGCATTTCAATAGGAAAGTCAGCAAAGATGACATTTTTTGGCCCAGCAAGGGATGCTCGTGGTAACACCCCAAGACTGTCTTTGCACTGGAAAGGAAGTATAACACCAATATATGTGCTGGACTGCACAGCAAGGATGTGAATACAGCAGGGGGACAGAGGAAGGTAGGTTGTGTCCAGAAGCTACTTGAACTGTATTAAGAAAAAATGAGTACACAGAAGGTGGAAATCATGCATGTAGGAAGGACAATATAGATCCTGTTGTTTCTGAAGGCCTAAGCCTATGGAAAGATAAACAAAACTGGTGTTACTCTGGCCAAAAATGTATAGATTTCCCACCCCCCAAAAAAAAGGCTTTCTGAATTAGAAACAGGTTCAGTAAGTGAAGAAGAAGGGTGGCTACCCAACACGGAGGGTTGAGAAAGCAAGGGACATCTCAAACAGAGAAAGTATATGGATATATCAAGAACAGAAGCTGAACCATACCTAAAAAATAGATGAGGCAATACTTAATGCGGCTGTGGGAAACATGGGCAAGACAGGAAATGTGTTTTTTTCAAGAGGCACGTGACTCCTCTCTGGAGACAACATGGCTTTGGGGCTAGGAGAGAAGAGGCTGTGACTGGACTACCACTGTGTAAAATTGTTTCAATCAATCAGAATAACCCACATTTTCTTCCTACCAGTCCAGCTCAGCAGCACTGGGGAAGCATTCATCTCCCAAAGGACAGCCTGTCCTTGCAACTATTTCTGGGCTTTCTGCCAGGGCAAAAGCTATTTGGAAGATTTTATCGTCCTTCTTTCTTCATTCTCCAAAGCTGCAGCTGGGGATTATTTTTGTAAGTGTGCTGCAAAGGTGCATCCACACAGGCGTGCAAAGATGTTGTCAGCAGTAGTGGTTTCCTCTTTTTGTTTGCAGAGAGATGTGCAAGCACCTGGGTCTCTCTAAAGGCAGGGCAAAGAGGAAAGTAATTATAAATAGTAGTAACAGCAGAAATGAGCTCATGAGATGGAGCTGTATGTTGGCAGAGCAGCTTTGTGAGCAGTAAACTGCTGGGGATTGTTTGGTTACATATGGGAATATTGGACTCCTGTTTACCATGAAGTACAAAATCAGCTAAGGGATCAGCAGCCTGAGGGTCATGCATGCTGTGCCTGTGAAATCCACTTCACTGCCCTTAATTCAGAAGAAGAATAACCAAGGCAGATATCCCATCAGCCGTGCAAACTTCAAATTCAAATAGCTTTTATATAACGCGGATTGGGGGAATTCTAATATTTCCAAATATGTAGAAGAACTGGGCTCCTCCAGGGGTAGGTAAAGCCTGCATTTCATGCACTAAAACCTATTTCTGGACACAGTATCACCCTGTAGGCAAGGCACAAGGATTCGATTGAAGCACATTTGTTCCGAGAGGCTGTGAGAAAAGGAAGACAGCTCCTGCAGTTTGCAAAATGTAAAAGCAATCACCAGGCAGGAGGCTATTACTCTGGGGTTTGTAATGTGATGGTGTCCTCGGTGTTCCTGCAGCAGGCTGGACAAGCTGCTGGGCTGCCGAGCCAAGTGGCACGATGCTGGCTACGGCTAACACAAGCTTGGAGAAAAAGTCGAAATGAAAAACACAAAGGAAGAGTCAGCCCTAATCTCCAGCCAGTGTAAAAGCTTAACTAAGTTACTAAGTATGGAAACACGGCATCATTTCAGCAGGCATTGCATAAGGTTGCCATATTGGCTGCCTCTGCAAAGCTGCAAGCTCAGAGCCTCAGCAAACAGTAACGATGCCAACGGCTCTTTAAGAGCAGGTTTCTGCTTCTCCTGCAAGGGCTCCTGTAAAACGTACACATGGACACAGGGCAGAGAGCAAAGCAGCATGGGTGTGTCATGCATTTCTTGTCTCCTGTTCCAGCTCTGATCTTCCTTCCCCGGAGTGAGTGTAATTTGGTAAATTGGAGCTACGTATTCTCTGGAGGGCTGTAGAATCATGTATTTACTGGCCAGCACAGACACTGCCTCGTCTGCCTGCAGAACATGAATTCAAAGAAAAATTGATTTTAGTCGGAGGTGGCTCACAGACAGCCCTGCCATAGGGTGAGAGATAAATATCCTAACTTTCCAAGCTTTGGGTGAGCTGAGTAATGGCTGCAAAATATACCCGCAGTCCCACAGCCCGAGCTGCTGCCAGGTTTAAGCAGAAGTTGCAATGGCTCTAAGGGAAGTAGCAGTGATTGCCCCATGTTTGGAAAGGGGGATCAGTTTGGGGAGAAGGGGAGGGTATTGCCCTGCACAGAGAAGCCACTTGCCCATACACTCATAGCAGCTACCGTGTTTTCTGTGGCTCAGCTGAGCCCAAGCACATTGTCACCTCAGGTGCAGATTTGACCCATCAAGGGACAGACTGTCCTGCTCATTGGGCTTTCCCCCTCTTAATTATCCCCACCCCTGGCCTGGCAGGTCCAGTTGATCTGAAGGAAACCTCCCAAAACAGAACAGTCCCTTGTCCCTGCACGCAGCCACCAGTACACCCTGCAGAACAACACAGGAACATTATGTGCCTGCCAGTTTGCAGTCCATCCCATTTATACAGCGCATAGGAGTCAGAGCGCCTGCCCAGGAGGCAAGAGATGGGGCAGATATAGTCCCATGAAGGTGAGGAGTCTGGGCTGAGACTACGCAACAGGGAACTCGCTGTCTCATGAAACCCAAGGTGAGGGTCTTAGTTACCCCACGCCACTTTCAACGTGGCACAGCCCTAAGTCCTGACAGGGAGCCTTTTCGCTGTAATTTAAGCGAAATTACAGCTGTAAGCGCAGACAGGTCAGGTCACCATCAAGGGCCTGGCCGGATCGGCCCTCCCTGCCAGCAAGCAGCTGCCTGCTGCCAGCAGTTACCTACTTCGTCGGCCTGCTGAAGGAGCCTTCACGCAGCAGGTCCCAGAGCATACGGCTGTTATTCTGTGTCACACATCAGCAAATGGCTTGGGTAATGAATAGGGCTGGAGGACTGCAGCACAAACTTGAGGACATAAGGAGCTTAAGTGCCAGAAATCAGCAACACCACGAGGCTGCAACTGGACAGGCAATTTTCTAATGCCATTATGGACGTCTTCCCTCCCTGCTCCAGCGCTCGCTGGAGCCCAGTGCTGGCTAAAGCCAGTCCTTGACGCCACTGCACGGCGTGTGTGTGTGTCAGCCAGGCTGGGACATGCAGGTACCTGAGCTGGGCAGCTTACTGGGTCATGTCAGTGCAAGTGAGAAGGAATCTTAACTCCTTGGGGAAGGATGTGCACGTCCGCATGCCAAAGCTGGCTCCAACAGGCCAAGCAGGGATTAGCTGCTGCTAAATCTGGGTATCAGTGGCCAAAATAAAACCAAAAACACCCACCATGCAAAATGATTAAAAATGGCATGTCCCAAATCCTGAAGATTCTATCAGCAGAGTATGGCCCCGCTGGATGTGGAAGTTCACTGATGTTCAGAACCTCACAGAAATAGAACCAACCATAAAAAAAATTCCCTTGCATTCAGTAGCTAGACTCACCCGCTAATAGAAGAGCACCAATTAGTATCTACAGGCAGAAACCACTCTGCTACTCGGGCTCCTCCCTGTCACCTCGGTGTTCAACTTCTCCGCAGCGTTTACTAAGACAGACACCATCACAGCAGGGTTGGGTCTTTCCACACACACACACACACACCAAAAATGCATCTTTCCTGTTGCCACGCTCCAGCACCAGAGCACCAACTCGCCTACCACGGCCCCGCTGAGCAAGGCAAACCCCAGGAGCCAGGCTGCAGCTCTCTGTAAACAGCCCCCACCCGCATCCCCAGCGCACGCACGCTGCTCCAGCACACCGGCACCTTCTCTGCACCGGCTGCCTCGGCAGAGCCAAACTGGCTTTTATGGACCAACTCGTCTCTTCCCTTGGTAGAAGAAAGTCGCTTGTTTCCACCTTGTAATTTTCTCTTCAGCACCTGCCTGAAGACTCCTCCAAGTCTTTCACTTCAGTGCACCGGTGTCTTTCATCATGAAGAGCACCAGGACTAACTCTACCCACTTGACCCAGTCCACACACCAGTGTGAAGGCAGCTCCTACCCCAACCCCACCAGCTTGGAGGAAACACTCCTGCCCATTTCAGAGGCTTGGGGACTTGCAGTGAGAAACTAGAAGCAGCCACTGAACACCACCGTTACTCGCTCTAGGCTTACCCTTAGCAAGCTCCTCATTTATTAAAACTTAAGATTCACAACTCACTTTTTTCCCCTCCATTCTGTAGCCAGGGCCATTCACGTCCTTCAGAACATCGGGGTTTGCAAAGTCTGTAGATAACCATATAGTCTTTTACTGACCTTGTGTATCTTGTTAACATCTAGTGTCACCTTCCACACACTCTGAAAATCCTTTGAATTGAGTAATGCTGAAACGCTTGGGGCACCTCAGCACAAACCCCCCTCCCCTTAGCACATGTATGTGTTTATTACCAAATGTACGTAAATCGCAGTGACGAGCCACTGTGTTAACTGAACAGATTCAAAGCACTCGGTGCACTTGCACCCCATCCCTTCCCCGGTGGAAGCAGCAGCACACAAGGCTGCGTTAATTGCACTCCCCTCTCAAGACAGCAGTACACCCTATAGCTTGTTGCATGTTCACACCTAGGCGTGGTGCAGGTTATGCTTGTTTCACAGGTACCCAGTTATCTCACACCAGACCAGCAAGTTTACTATAAAATAATTTATTAGACAGCAATACACAGCTTTAGCAGCAAGCTTATATACATGCACATAAAAACTGCTGACTACTCTATTCAGGGACTCTAGCTCTTTTGCCCTTGGCCTTGCGTACTTCTTCAATCAGATCTTTTAAGTACTGAATTTCCTTACTAAGGGAATCTGCTTTCTCCTTCAGGGCCTGATTCTTCTGCTCCAACTCTCTGCACTCCCCAGACAGCGCCTCCTGTTCTGCCCTCTTCTTCTGCCGGTAACGCGTGGCAGCTGTCTTATTCTGCTCCATCTTTTTCAATTTCTTATCCATTTTCTTTTCTCCTTTCATCTTTGCTGACACTACCTTCTCTGCAGGATGATCATATGGTTTGGACCGCACAGAGCCACAGGTGGCATCTGCAGGGAACTGGTTGTCATTGGGGGATCCAACTGAATTGGTAGGACTATGTTGGGGTGTTCCCAGGTAGGAGTCTGGGCTCATGCATATTCCACTATCATCAGAATGGTTCTCCTCCTCTTTCTCAGACTTGGCAATCACTATCACAAAGGTGGGGCCCTCCTGTTTTCTTTCTCCTTCCAGAACATCCACTTCACTACCTAGTTCTAAACTAAATGAATGGTCTGGAGTGGAAGTCAGAGACCCTGGGGAGAGGGGGAAAGACCAAAGGGAAGCCAATGGGGCCATTGGATCTGCTCCAATTGGAGATTCGGGGAGATGGGTGATTAGGTCAGTAATCAGTGGAGGTTCTTTGTTGTGAAATTCCTGGATGGTAGGGTTAAATAGGAGATCACACGTGTCTTCCAACGTGGCCATCAGCTCGTCTGGTGAGACGGTGGCTTCCAGATGTTCCATACCTAACAGGGCATCAAAATCAAATTCCTTCAGATCCATCTTCTCCACCATCCACTCCATGCCAGAGAAGGCATCCTCTGCACAATAAAAAAAAGTTTACCACTTCAGTAAACTAGCAACCAATGCAATTCAAGCTTCTGAAAATAATCTATCAGCTCATCTTTTAACATCTTCCCTCTCTCTCATAGCAGCATGAAAGAATTCAACCATGAAGAAAGAATCCCCTGCCATTCGCCTAAGACTGCAGGGTACAATGTAAGCCGTCAGCTGTTCTGACATTCCATCCCTCTTACTCCAAGACCAAAAAAATTCAAGGCCATTTGAAACGAACAGCCATGCTGGTTTCTTGTCACCTCTGCCAGTGAACAGTACCATAACTGCTGGTAAATTATTAAGAGGGCAACAGAATTATCACTACGCCAGTCCAGCAATCATGTAAGCAGTGTAGTACACACGCTTTCCAAGCAGAGGTATGCACGTGAGGTTGCCTTCATGTTTATGAAACCCTAGCAATTTATATCTTTTTAATCAGAATGTTTACTAAACACATTATGTGTCATTGTGATGACGCACTTTATGCAAATAAATACCTTACCCTGGCTGCTATCTATGGTGTTGCCTAAACTGTCCACAGCAAGCCAATTGGAGGAGACTGCCTTAGCCTTGTCGCTGGAGAACCCATGCGAACTGATGGGCTCGGCCACCTCCAGGTAGTCATCTAGGAGTCCCAGACTTTCCTCAGCCACCGAACACGGCTGGCTGAAGGGGGATAATGAATCCCCCAACAGCATCTCGTTGTTCAAGAGGCTCATCTTCATCAGTTTTTAATGCTTTGACGTCGAAGGATGTAGGCAAGTAGAGGGTCTTTTTGTCGACTACAGCAATGCTGCTGTGGGGTGCCTTGAAAAACCTGCAAATAAAACTTCAATTCATCAGAATCCATTCAGCCAGCACAGCAGCTTTTTAAAAAGCAATGCCACTTTGGAAGTATGGCGCCACTCTACAGACTCGTGGGACTTCGCCATTTTCGGGACTGCTGCTTGCCCGCAACGTTAACATCTTTACACTTTTAATTGCCGGCTAAAGGCTCGCCAGAGCC